ATTCGCATATTCATCGTCAGACTCGGAGCGTGAGGAGTTTGAGCCAGTGCGACATCGAATGCCAACTTCCACACTAGCTGTCCGTTCACAGCTAATCATCGTAGTAACCAATTGTTATCACGTTTTAATATTTCTTTTTAATAATTCTTTTCATTTCTTTCATTCTTTTCTTTACAAAATTTCGTTTTGTCACGTCATTTTATCATTTTTTATCATCACTTTTCTTTTTTCTGCATTATAATTTCATGTTTTCATTTTTTTTCACAAACAATTTTAACTGGTGACTAAGTTATTTTATACCCCGGAGACAGTAGGAAGAAATCTGTTCATTGACAGCCAACCAGCTCTAAAATATCCGCACCATGTCCCCTCGAGACTAATTACTCTATCAGGTAATTGAATACATATTTTATAAAATAATAAAATAGCTAATCATCGTAGTATCCAATTTTTATCATGTTTTAATATCCCAATTCTTTTCATTTCTTTCATTCTTTTCTTTACAAAATTTCGTTTTGTCACGTCATTTTATCATTTTTTATCATCACTTTTCTTTTATCTGCATTGTAATTTCATTTTTTAATTATTTCCCTGTATTGTAATAAAAAAGTTCCACAGTAAAAAAGTTGAAGACTTAGGGCTTTAGGGCAAATATTACGGATAATCTTATCGAGCTCCCTGAAAGTTGAATATTTAATGAATCCAATAAACTAGACCCATCTGATATAATTTGGGATTTTTTAGATAAGCGATCACTTGATGAATTAAATAAAGTGATTATGACCAGTTGGCAGGATTATTAGTACTCGGTTTTCTCGGTCTCTCATTTGAACATAATATCATCTAGATGGCATAATAACTAACATTTTTAGAGTATTTGCATTTCTAGGTATGTTAGCTTTATTTAAACAATGAGCATAATATAGCATAATCAGAGCTGTTAATTAAAGGTGATCAATGCATCGACCCAGACCTCCAACAAAGACGAAGAATTTGAGGGGTACTATATTGCAAAACATGTGCATACACAACTGCTCACCACACCAATTCTAAACACTTTAGGATATTTATTCAGATATGTAAATTTATTAGTTCTAATAGATATTTTAACGCTATCAGAAGTTAATTAATGAAAAGTCGCATGGGATGAAGCTGTTGAAAAAATTTCAACTAGAAAGATAGAAAAGGCACAATATTTAACTAGATTAAGTGTTAGTATAGACCCTTTTGTCGACAGATTGAACAATTATGAGGCTTATCTTGCGTCAAACAGTTTAATGAGTTCTGTACTCTTGAAGACAAAATTAAGTTGCCAGGTATTATGAATTTATACATCAAAAAAGTACATCCTTATTATAGAATGTTAGAAATTAATATTGATCTAATCAATCAAAATCTCATAATGCGAAATGATCATAACTAAAAAATTGTCCCAAAAATGTTGCCAATCGTATATTAATTCTACAGGGTCGACAACGAAGTGTCATTCAGTGACTCATCGAGGCTGCGAACTGCACAAATTTTTTTGATCTACCCGAGGAAATAATATTTGATTTGATGATACATATATTATATACGTCCAAAAGATCTCCTTGAATTTCGAAAAGTAAATAAGTACTGTTTCAACTTATCAGAGGACTCGGTCTTTCTAGAAAAGAATCGTTCAAAACTTAATGATTTGACTGTACCAGAAATACAATTAAAAGTAGATCAGTATTTGCCTAACCTTAATTTGCAAGTTAAAGAAGCATTAGAATGTGATTATAGAAACACTTTACCTTTAGAGTATTTCACTTTTAAAGTCTCATTATGGATAAGCTTTATCAAGCCACGCTCCACTAAATTTATGGTTTTTATGTCAAAAAACCCACATTTAAGTTCTGCAGAAAATTATTTTCAAAGGCACGCAGAATACAAGGAATATTTTCTAGCTTTAACAAAATTTGAAAGAAAAGTGTTAAAATGGGAAGTTAAATTGACGCTTTTATTAAATAAGAAGAGATGTGGAATAAAACTTACAGAAGTATTGAACGATGCTCTAGCTTTAAACTCAAGAGTTAGTTAATATATAAATCAAATTTTCCTTAAAAATAGCCTAATTTTTTATGGCATGAATTCAAGACGCATCTTTTTTCAGATAACGTCTCTTACCTGGTAATGATATCGATACGTTATATGAGCCTACAACAGGCAAACAGCTCAAAGTTTAAGCCTGTGAAGCTCTATATTAATCAAGGCATAGCTCTTGAGATGATTCTTCTTGGTAGCTTAATCAATCTTATCTTTGTAGAA